TTCTTTCAGATTTTATTTATTTGAGAGAGAGTGCACACAGGAGAGCACAAGCAGGAAGAGGAGCAGAGGGAGAGAGGGAGAAACAGACTCCCCACTGAGCAGGAAGCCCTATGTGGGGCTGAAGGCAGATGCTTAACTAACTGAGACACGCAGGCACCCCTAAGCATGTGCTTTATTTTCTTCTTTTCAAAGATTTTATTAATGTATTTGACAGAGACACAGCAAGAGAGGGAACACAAGCAGGGGGAGTGAGAGAGGGAGAAGCAGGCTTCCTGCCAAGCAGGGAGCCTGATGCGGGGCTTGATCCCAGGATTCTGGGATCATGACCTGAGCCGAAAGCAGACGCTTAACAACTGAGCCACTCAGTGCCCCTGAGCATGTGCTTTAAAACCTTCTGATACTTTTAACAAATTTCTCAAAATTCAAATTCTAAAAGAAGTCTTTTTAACTAATAAGGCTTATTTATTTGATATGTAAATTACATGGGAAGCATTGTCAGATAAGTGATGATTAATCTTTTTAGGTTATATTGCATGGGTGAATGCTATGAAATTCCTAAAGTTTTAATATATCCTGGTATAGCATCATTACTTGTAATTCTGATTACTGAAGTACTGTCTATCACAGAAATATTTCCTTGTCAACTGCACTATAATGAAATTTCGTATGATCTTTAACCAAGGCCTTTTTTGAGTCTTTTGTTATTTACAGTTACTATTCTGATGCTCTTACAAATTTGTTTCATCTTCAAGGAGAACCACAGAGACGACTTTGACAAACACAGGTTTCTGATACACTAAAGATCACAAACTAAGCCAAGTAAGAATTACTGGGAATAATGGGAAAACTATATTCAAACTGAAAAAAAAAATTAGTAACATGAGACTGAATGAATCGAGGAAGATGATCATAGTTTTTTATGACCTTTGTTTGAAACATCACTGGTTCTCTAATGTTTGCTCTTCAGGATTTAAGGAAATATTTATCTTTTTCTCCCTACCTGATTTCTCCAGAATTCAGAAACTCTTTGAGTATTCTTACCTTCATGGCAATTATAGTTATTTGCATAAGTTCACGAAGAATCTCTTCTTTTAACAGGTCACCTTAAGAAAAATTGATTCTATTACCAAGGCTTTGACTGGAATGTCCTATTTGAGAAAGACATGCATAGACTCAGATGACCAGACAGTTTTAAGGAACTAAGGTTGATTTTATGAAGCCAGTGAAGCCCCCTGGAATAACTGGCATAGCTGGTACTTTGCTTACAGAGTTCCCAGGAGCCTTACCAGGTAAACAAGGAAGGTAACCTACTGACAGGCTCAGGAACATCAGGATATTTGGGGGACCCCAAGAAGCGAGGAAATAATCAGATCCCTAAAGGTACTGAAAGTGTTGGCAAGTACTTGGCTTGGCTCTTAGCCTTGAATGGCTAATTCCTTATGAAAAGTTCCAGCAAAGCAGATCTGAAAGAACATGCAGCCAGTCACTATTCTTGCACTTACGTAAATATTTAGGCCAAATTTGTTAAAAATGGACTTGTTTTACAAACAAATTAGTCTTAATCTGGCTATTGCTGATGGAAATGAGGGTGATTTTTGGAGAGAAAAAATTAGGTCTCAGTAATGTATCTTTATGGGGGTTAGATTCTAGTTCTGATAAATTGTCCTCAAATGTTTATTGTTTACCTTTAACACTGGGCTGGATCCTGAATTATTCTGGTTTCCTCAAATATCTGCATTTCTACCTACTTACACACTTACACGCCTGACTTTGAAAGCTCACCTGCAGGACCAGCTCCTAAAATGAGACAACTGTTTAACTGAACTGACCTGATTTACCTCGTTATGAAATGTGGAATAAGATGCTAAGACTATACATTAGAGTTCCAAAAAAAAGGCCTCTATGAAGGATGGGGGCTCAACTTAATATTAAGGGTTATCTGCAATTGGACACAAGGGAATTTCATTCCTCAAAGTCCTCAATAATCCCACCTTTTCAGCAGGAAGTGGCTGGAGTCATTCCTGTCACTCAAGAATGAGGAATGATGAAAAGCCATGGTGGTATGGGGACCAAACCGCTATTGTTTTGTTGCCAAATGAATATCTGCCATGTCTACTGACTCTCAAACATTTCTCTTATTGCCCCAGCCTCACACTGCTGATGTCCCTCCTTCTTGCCTCAGGAAGCGCCTCCCTGTTGGGGGCCACCACTTATGCTGAAATTCACAATTGCTTTGATGTACATGCCGTACACATCATACGGGCCATAAAGATGTTGGGGGTAAAGTGCATGAATGCTGAAATACCGACCCCATGTTTGGCCCTCCATCTTGTTCATGTCCGAGTGATGACCTCCCTCAGGGCTACGGGTTCCAGGTCCCCTGGAGGTTAATGTGTCCTGACCAGAATATGGGAAGGCTCATTCTGATCTTCCTTGAAGTTATTTAGTTATCTATATAACTAACATATATAGGGGGGTAACATACTTTCCTCCCCCCTCTTCCTGAGTTATATAGTTATATCTATATAACTAACATATATAGAGGGGGTAACATACTTTCCTCCCCCCTCTTCCTGAGCACATGTGGCGCCACAAAGTCTGTTAAGTGTTAGACCTCTGATCTCACCACAATGCCCTCTGCACATCCCTTCGCACTCTATAAATGTGAACCAAGGTCCAGACACTGTGGAGAATAGCTGTGCGGCTGCCTGGATCATCACCTGCCCAATTCCCCCTGTCAGTAAATTACCTAGAATAAAACTCTGTGTGAACTGTATGGAGTCACCTGCTTCATTTTCCAATCTCAAAGTTCCTTCTCAGTTTGGGGGATACTTTATTGTCCCTCTTCCACCTCCCAACACTCCCTTTTTCTCATTTCTTAAAGTGAAGCAAGTCCTCCTGATTCTACAGGATGGCCCCAAAGTCTGTAAACCTACCTATACATGATAAATGGTTGAATGACATTACAAATCTTGATATGTTCAATGGGTGGTCCCTGATTAGAAATGCATAGTTCGATGTGTGCTGCTTTACTTGCACTGAATAAGTCAGTCTTTACCACACTGGGGTATTGGGGTGCTCCAGTGTGGTAATGGGGGTTGGAGGACGGGGGGGTGTAGAGTGGGCAATCCTCATCTGTTCATAGTGCAACCTGCTCCGCATGACCACACTGTCCCATTCAGTTACAGAAATTATCAGTCAGTTCCTTCTATCTCTGGTGTAATGGCACTGACTGGAGAGGCTTCCCCCTAGCCTGTCAAGTGGAGGCACTGATTGGTTCCAGAAAGTGGTAAAATACATGACACACTACCTCTTCCCAGACTTTACGACCATTTTTATATCCTTATATCAAATCCATACTCTGTTGTCATTTTCTCTTGCACAATTTTAACAATCCCTTAATTGGTCTCCATGTCTCCAGTCTCACTCTCCTTAAGCCAGCAGCTAATGCTACCAAGCGTGGCTTCTTAAACTGAATATCCGACTGTCCCAGAGATCTGATATGCACTACTCTCTCCAGGGTGCACCAAATTTCAGAGCTGGAGGGCACCGAGAGGATGAAGTGCTAAGCCTGCTTAAGCAAACAGAAAAAGGAAAACAAAAACAAACCTAGCAGACAGGAAGGAAAGAGAAAAACGTCCATCTGAGTTGTCCCCCCCCCCCCCGCTGTCTGTATCCTCCTGTCCAACTGCAGGCAACGTCTTTCCCCTAAACATGCACCTTACTCCAGTTACACAGTACTTACAATTCTCTGACCAAAGCAGTCTATTTTATATATGCTATCCATTTGTGTATGCCACTTTTTTTTTGTCTTGAATACGACCATCTCAAAGAACCCTTTTCCTATTAAGTTGGTCCTCAAAGGTCCTAATATCACATTCACTACTCTTCCTCTTAAGGATTTAGATTTCTGTCAAATTTTAACACTTCACTGGATTTATCTGGCTTACATTTCTATCTTTATTAGAGCTTACAGTTTCTTGGAACAGGGATCTTGTTTTTTCTTTGTTGTTGTTTTTTTAATCCTAAATCCCTAGTATACAGAATAGGCACACAAGTGTGCTGGCGCTCGGAGTAAGCTGTGCATTCTAGATTTGCTTGATTCTTAACCCGTTCAGGATCCCTTGAGTAAGTGAACACTTTGGATAGTTTGCCCAAGAAAACGGACTGCAAATTTCCCAGAGGGGAGGGGAGGTCATGAAATTCCTGAAGAGCAATAAGGAATCCCTAAGGATTCCACTCATCCTAGTTTTAGAACCCTTGCTTTTGAGGCAAAGTAGTCTACTGCAGTATTAAAGTACACACGCTCCCTCCCTCCCTCTGACCCTCCACTTTTGTAATTCCAAGTTTTTTCTGAATATATTAATTTAAATGGACCACAAAGTTTTTCACCCTCAAACCCGGCAATAGGCCAGTTGGACTAATTAAACTGTTCTTAAAAACAAAACAAAATTGTACTTTCCTCATCTACGATCAGGTCCGAGACAAAAGAACCCAGCGAAAGTACCAGAGCCAAAATAAACAACAGAAACTGTCTTTCATGGTTTACAAATAAACGACTGTATTGCTTTATGTGCAAAATTTCTCTCATTCTGAGAGAGAATCTACTTAAGTACTGCATTCGAAACTTCCAATGTTCACACACAGAACTGGGCCTACCGGGTCTCTAGACCCCTTCTTACCCCTACACGCCAGTTCTAGAACAAGCTTCTCCACCCGCTCCACCGACACAATTCACATCACCTTTACGTTTCCCTTCTTGCCTATAAAATGGGCCTGTACAGATCCCGACTAGGGAGATACGGGCCTCTGGGGCCGGATGAAGACTCCAGACCGCCTCGAGCCTAAGCTCCAGGTGGCCGGCGCGTTCTTCCCCATTCACCGCTTTTTCTGTTACGCCATCAGCACGTTCTCCCGCCGCCCTCTCCTGTGCCTACAAGAAGGCAGGCTACGTTACGGCGTTGTCCGCTCGGCGGGGGAAAAGACTAAGAGACTGGTACCTCTCGGAATAGCGTAGGAGCTCCGCATCTAGCTGTTCCCGGATACCGGTGCGTTTCCGGTTCAGGTAGCGCGGCGACAGGGCGATGTGTCTTCGGTGCGGGCCTGCCACCAGGCAAGAGTAGCGGCTATTCACGAGCGCACAAGCGGCAGCGTAAGTCGGCAGCTCCAGGCAGGGCAAGACGCCGGCCTGTCCCACAACCGGCCCCTCAGAGGCCGCCTTTGGCGGCGGAGCCTCTGAACAACCCGCAGCCATGCGGCTTGTCAGGTTTCCCGCGGCGCGCACAGCTGACGCAGGCATAACCGGCTATCTCAGGACGCCGGGTTTCTACGTCATCCACCAGCTGGCACGCCCCTAGGAAATTTCTCTCCGTGAGTTGCATTACGCGCTTCTGACCAGCAGAGGGCAGCAACTTCTTCGCACTCGGGACGACTGGCGGAGCGAGGAGCCTGTGCTTACGTATTGAGCATGCTCGAAGGAGGACCAGCCACCACTTCCTCTCGCCTGGGCGGGCAAGCCTTTACTTCCGCTAAGGCCCTCTTTGGATTTAGTATGTAGGTTTAATGGAGTTTACACTGATAATTTCCAGTAGTAAGGTGGCCTGGTAAATTTTACAAGTGTGGAAAATACAATAACAAACTTTAAAATTTTAGGGAATGTATTGCAGGGAATCCAATCCTAAAAAGCAGCCCAGATGCCTCAAATGCAACACATCCTAAGATAAACCCATCATCCCTCCCGTCTGGATTCTCTACTCTTTCTGTAGCAACTCATTCAGGAAATCTTACCACCACCTTCCAAATGGCTCAGTTCAGCTGTTACCCTTGGAGCCTCTCTTGTATCCTCAAATATCAAATCAGCCCCAAGGCTTGCGGGGTCCAGAGCGGAAATACCAGTCTATTCGGATACTTCGTCTGTCCTCGCATCCAAAAGTACAGAAGTGCCGCGGAAGCTTAACCCTATGGTCAAGAGGACACTCGGGGGCATCTTCTGCGAAACAGAATATAACCATGACTTGTCCACAGAGGAACCCCCGTTTTCTCAGGGTAGCACAGACTCCTCAATGTGGATCTTAAGTTACTCACAAGACCGTATTAAAGTCTGCTGCCAGCCCAGCAGTTTCACTGATCACCCTCCCGCTCTACATTGTTAGCCACCCGTGCTCACTGATTCACTTCCACCTTGCTCGCTCTCTTTTTCATCAGTTCCTGCTACCTGAGAACATAGCGACTTCTCTCAAATGGGAAAACTGTACTCATGTGTTAAATTTTAGCTTAGATTTCTGCATTCTCTTCCTCTGCAGTTTACTACCACCCTATCCCTCTTCCCCGCCCCCATCTAACTCAAGATGGGGGATTAGTTTCCCCACTTTTGTAAATTACCCCCATCAAGCACTTGTTTTTATGTCAATTTTATGTCAGTTGCCTATTGGTCCGCCTGTTCCTTCATAGACTCCAAGCTCACTAAGGCAGGAACCATGATAACTGTCTTTTCTCCACTGCAATCCTCAATGGCTCAAAACAAAAGAAAACAAAACAGCCAATGCATAGGAAATGAGTGAATGAATGAAAGAATTAACAGGCAGTAAAGAGCTCAAAGTCTAGTGAGGCAATAGGATCTAAACATAAATATACAACAGGACTACACTGTGTAAGTGCCAAGAGAAATGCATAGCAGTTAGTATTGTGACTTGTAACACCTCTCCACCTCTCCTAGGTATTGCAAAAAAAGCTGTAAACCTCTCTCAATTAATTTTTCTGCCTGTAAAATAGGTATAATAATAATGTACCTACCCTGCTCCCTATAGAAATGGTAGGAAGTTCAAATTAGATAAGTGAAAAACACTTTCTCTGGTATTCTTTGATTTCAAAATCAGCATGAGATGTTAATGGGATAAAACTGTTCCCAAAGCCCAGTGATAAATATAAGCCCATGAATAGGAAATGTAATAGCCTTTACCTGGATTTGATTGGAAAGTTCTGCAACAGCCCTATGCAGGACCCCTTTGTTTAGTGTTCTCAGCTTTGGCTACACATAAAAATCACCCGAGGAGCTTTAAATTCTGACGCCTTACCTGTGGTGATGAACACTGGGTGCTATATGCAACTAATGGATGGATCAAAAACTTATGATGTACTATATGCTAGCTAATTGAACATAATAATAAAAAAATAAACAACCAAAAAATAAAATAAAATAAAATAAAATAAAATAAAATAAAATAAAATCTGATGCCTTAACAGCATCCCCAGACCAGTTAAATTAAAACTTTTCCCCGCAGTCAAGATGCGTGTAGATTCTCTGCAGGTGAATTGAATGAAAACAATTAGTCCAAAGCAATTAGTAAAAATAAGCTGGACATCAGGACAGTTGAGTCAAAACAAAACTTATCTAAAATCAACTACCCCAGAAATGATTTTTCACAAATTTTAAATATGGGGTAGTTTTATAACCCTTTGTGTGTTCCTAAGAGATTTGTTTATTTGGTTTTGAAAATTGTTTTTTACTTTTTAGTTTTTTAAAGTTCTGGCTTGATTGTTAGCTGCTATCCACAATCTGCATGGTTTGGAAGAGAGAAAAGGTGATTTAGCCTACGTGTAAATGTTCACCATTATGGAGTTACTTTACCAAATTAACCTGTTTCACCTATTACCCAGAGAAGAAGACAAGTACAGTGAGATTCCTCCCACCTACCTTCCACCCCACACAAATTCAAAGTTTATTTGATCAAGTGCCTATAGTTGGACTGTACTATTTTCTTTTTGTATAAAATTTGATCAAAGTGGCACAGGAAGTCAGGCATTGCTGGTCTCTGTCTCATGAAAAGCCCTGTCAAGTCAAAGTCAAGCATGTGCTAAGAAAACCCCTTTTCTACAAGGAGAAGAGACAAGGTTGAACATGACTTAGTCTCCATGTCCGCTCACACCACCCACCCTCAAAAGAAACAAAATTGTCCCTGCAACTCTCTGGATTTTTTTTTTACCATCGACCCCCCCCCCACACACACACACATACACATTATATTATGTTACTGTGTTTCTATTCCTCGCAATCAATGAATCCCTGGAACAATAGAAGTGTGCACTAATTGGTAGGCTGCTGAAATAAGTTACAAAGTCACTTGTGCCACATGCTCTGATTTTTATGGAAAACATGCACATTTATATGATTAGAAGAGAATCTGGATGTATAAATACTATGTGTTAATATCAGTTATCTCTTGAGGGTGGGTTAATGGCTTTTTAAAATTGTGTCAATTTTCATGTTATTGTAATGAGTGTGCATTGTTTTATATTTTTAGAAAGTAGAAAATGAGGGAAAGGATTCTTATTGTTGATGATTTGGGTCGTTACAAGATATTCTCAATTCTTAGACAGTTTAATATAGCACAAGGTGAGGAGCCTGGGTGCTAAAGTTACATTGTGTGAGTCTGAATCCTGGTTCTGCCACTTACTAGGTGTGTAGCATTATTAGGCAAGTTCGTTCTTTTTAAAGAAAAAAAAATCTGAAATTATTAGAATAGACCTACTGAAAAAAATGGAATTCGAAAGTTTGATGGATAAAGGTTTACACAAAATATTTTTATATAAAGGGCAGTAGTGCAGGTAAAAATGCCATTGTATCAATTGGCTTTTGCTGCATAACAAACCATCCTCAAATTTGGTGGCTTACATAGCAATCACTAATTCAGTCCATAATTCTGTGAGTACGAATTTGGCCTGGGCTCAGCTGGACTCGCGCAAGCATCTGTAGTCAGGTGTGGGCGGCTCCATGGTCTCATCCTCCAGCAGGCTAGAGTAGGTTTGCTTTCCTGGCAGCTGTGCATGTTTCTGAGTGAGAGTGTGAGAGAAAAACCTCTTGCCTAGACTCTGGAACATAGACAGTACAATCCAAGGCATGAAATGCTTATGATCTCAAGTACTTTGTCCTTTGCCTAAGAAAGGATCGGGGTCTACTTCTATCCTATACCAGACGTGCACTGGAAGTCCCTAAAAGTGCCCCCGCCAATAGGAGCGTAATAACAGTCTCGACAAGAAGAGTTCCATCACCCTTCGTCATTGATTTTATCAAATTGATAGAATGCGTGATTTCATCAGTATCACAACCACCACCATGATCATCATCATCATAGCTAAACTTCACGACAAACCTGCCTGGCACTGTGGTAAGTGCTTTCTACAAATCACCAACACAGAATCTTTACACACTTACTACAGTTATTAAATATTTTTACAGATGAGGAAACTATAATCTAGGGAAGATTTTAAAATATTGGCCCCATGAAGGTAGTAATCCTATCTGTATTGTAAAAAGCTGCAAGCCTAGTGCCTAGCACATATTTCCTGAGTGAGCAGATGAACGAGTTTTCCAAGGATACACAGCTGCTAATCAAGGAATTTAACCCAGTCATGATTCATTCCAGAGCTCATGCTCTGACTCATTAAAATCCTCACTTTTCCTATGCACGTGGCCAAAGATTATAAAGGAAGAAATTTTAAGAGTTCAGAAAATGGGTGCTTATTTTAATTAGCCTTTGCCTAAAAAACAACTGGTAAAGTGGGAATCAGATCAAACTGGTAAGTACTACCTTTTTAACAGGCTTGGAAAGATGTCAAAGCAGTACCAGCTTAGGCTAAAGTGGCAGGGCTGGGAGTCTTGCAGAAAGCAATTCACAATATGGCATGGCTGGTAGGAGCCAGGTGCTGGAGTCTAGTAATCTGGGTGTCAGTCTTGGCTCTGTAACCCTGCAGAACTTGCCTAGTCTTTTTAAACCTCAACTTCCTAATCTGTAGTGTAAAAGTATAATGATATGGAGAATCTGTGTGGAGTAAATGAGATAATGCAGTGTCGTACTAAGCACAGTGACTGGCCTATAGTAAGTGCTCAATAATATATCCTTTTTGGAGACCATGATCAACACATCAGTTATAATATGCTGTTTAGCCTGATGAGGGCTGTAAAGCTGAACTTGGGAGCAGGAACTTAAAACTTCCTTGAATGAAGGGCAAAGCAGAGTCCTGGACCTAAGAGGAACATTCATATAAGAGTATGAATAAAAACTGGAGAGTAACTTGGCCCCATCTCTGGAAATGAAGTTTTTGTTTTGTTTTGCTGTTATTAACATGATTAATTTCAGCTCCTCTTCAATGTACCCTTACAAGCAGTTCATATACATAAACATTTGATTCAGCTTAAAACAAAGATTTCAATATAGCATCCTCTTAAAATATTTTATTGATAAAATTCACTCTAGATATGAATTATGTTTACTGAGATACAAATTTGCAATTGTGTTTGTTTGTT